CGAGCATTGGCCTCCGTCACGTGGATTCCGTAGATCGTGGCGCGCGTGATCGGACTGCGAACTCTGCCGTCGTTGCGGAGAAGGCAGGCCGGGACGGAAAATAGCCGAGTCCTAGCCCAAGGTTCGCCGTCCGGTGTCCAACTGATCGAGCTCGTTTAAAACATCGTAGTTTGCCCTCGGGGGTATTTTACCGGTCTTCTGCTAGAGCCTCCGTTCTCTCCAGCCCCGGTTCGAGGTGGACCGAGCTCGGGAGGGACGCGGGGGATCTTCTTCTCGCTGTTATAAAGTCGGAGTTTCTAATCTGGTTTCAGAGGAGGAGAAACCGGCGGCGATGCACGGTGGCGACAGAAGGAACCTTAGCCCCGCAATTTTGGCGAGCAACTTTCTGGTGTCCCTCCTGGCGGCCGTCAGCTGGAGGATACCGAGTTTCACCAGCCTTTACCCGACGTGAATCACCGTCGAAGTTACTGGAGTGGCTGCCGTTAGCCGTGCCCGAGCCACCGCAGCAACCCGATCCACCATCTTCCGGCAGGACGACTCCGACGATCGAGGGATCTACGGCGCTCGTTCTTCCAGCTGTAACTCCGGTCTACCTTGCGAGGTGGTCGCTTCCTCCAGGACCGGTGATCCCGCGAGGAACAACAGTGTGTCCGTGAGATCTCGTTCCCGGAGTGTCTCGTACCCGTGTGCACCTGTGACAACTTGAAACGTGAACGTAACGAATCAACCGCGCCACTCCCGCGATCCCCTCGTGTGTACCGCAGGACTACGTGTGTGCTCCAGTGCCCGCGCCGGCAGACTAACTGTGAGCGTCCTTGAACTGTACGAGAGCTCCTTGTCCGTTCGCTTGTCCGGACTGTGGTCCACTTAATCTCCTGATTTCCGGAGACCGCGCGCGATCGTGGCCGCGATCAACGATTGTCCTCCGTTTTGGAATTGATGTAGGACTCGGTGCGGTGAGGACACATCCTTTAGACTTCGAACGATGGAACAGATACGAACGCGTTGAGAAGCTCGCGCCAACGGAAGTTCCTTCCCCGTTGCTGTCCCACTTTCCGCCGTGAAGGGACAGGAACTCGTTAGCGTCTTTCCGTGTCCGCGATGGGCGAACCGTTTCCTTCGTAATGTGCGTTATACATATATAAATACATAAATATACGTATATACATACATATATACATATATCTATATTCGTTACGTACGCGGAAAGCACGTATATATATGTACACATACATGTAGCGTGTAAGTTGCTGCGCGAATCTCGTCAGCGGACGAGTGGCGTGAACTCGCGACGCTGAAACGGATTCGTTTTACTTTCTTCTCGCGTACATCTGGCATCGCGGACCTTGCAGGCTGATAACTCTTTTATTTGGAACAGATTTCCAAGAAAATTAACGGTGTTCAGTTTTTAATGCGGACAGCAAAAACGGCTGTTGTCCCTGGCGTTACCGTTGAACAGAATTCAGTAGATCGTGGAAGATCCGTCGCAGATATCGTCACTCGTCCTGGTAAATGGAATCAATGTAAATACTACATTCTAATTATACATTCAATAAAACATTACTCGTGAACGATGCTCGTGACCATTTACTTCCCGCGATACAAGGTGTCTTCAATCCTCGATCCTGTTGTAATTCAAGGTGCATCAAGGATGATCCTTTTGATTATTATCGATTAAATATAAAAACGAGTAACGACAATATAAACCCTGTTAAATTCTTGCAATATTGTTATATTTATCATTGAGTTACTTAAAAGAAATTTATCTAGAACAATGAAGAAGATGAACGAAGCTTCCAACGATCTCTTTATATTAAAATGAAGGAAACCACTTAAAAGGCACAGTCTGCGAAAACAACGGACTACATTTAACCTCTTATAGCTCGAATTTTTAATATCAGTATATAAATATTCATATAACTCGAAGCCAGCAAATATCATCCTCTCTAGATATAAATCAATAATCGATTCAGAATTTTTGAAAAGTGTTAAATTTACTCTGATGTGCGAAGTAAGAATTCAAAATCATGATACATGCTCGATTACGAAGAAGAAACCACAGAGCAAGCTTTCGCCACATTATCGCTAAAAGTGACATTAAAAAGCACGATAAATCAGTGAGCGACAGCAATGTTACATTGAGATACAGAGACTTAAGTTCACATTGAACTAATCACAAAAATTAAGCACTTTAATTATATTAATATTAGCCAAGTTTTCTTCGAACGCTGACAAGATAATTGGCAGATAATAAAAAACACTCGCGGCTTGAATAATGCCGAGGATAACGAGTCGCTTTCTAGTCGATGTCTTCCAGCAGCAGATGTTACCCGTCGTCAAAGCGAAGGAGAAGGCGTTCCTCGGTTCATCGACGAAGCGAGAACACGAGTAAACTTCGTCATTTGTTCTCGTCATTCGATAGGCAAACGATGAGACAGGAAATTGAACGCAAAGTAGCGCGCTCGCCGGTGAAACGAACGTCCCTGCGTCGCACGAGAAAAGTTATTCCACGAAACTCCATACCTAGGAAAGTTACCTCGAATAGCTTCGGCCGATAAACGCGCGCGTTTCCTATCTCACGAAGTCCCCGAACTTTCCGCGGGCTTTAACACGCCCGTGGCAAACATTATTACAAGAACCGGCCCGTTATCTTCCGTCGGAATCGTGTTAAAACGGACTAATTCGACCGCGAATTCGACCGGAGAAATATCATGATCCGCCGGCAGAGTTGAACTATGTGCTCCCCTTGCCGCTGCAGAGACGGTAAGAGCTGCTTGCAATAACCCGGGGCTTCGGTGAATCGATAAGACTCATCGCTGATATAAGTGTCGTCGATATTCCTTATCGAACTAGCAACGATTTTATACTGCTGATTGTTGCAAATTCGCTGAAGCGAAGCACGGTTGCGTATTTGGCCAGAAAACCTGACCACAAGTTGCATTTAGAATTTTCTCTGAATTATAAAATTTTCGCTTTTGGAGATAGCTAAATAGGTGAACAATAATGTGTACTAATGTTGTACTTTCATATTCGGTCTATGATTTCTTTCACAGCTACGTTAACAATTCTTTGTTCTTAATCATTTCTCCAGTAGAACGAAACAATTCTTATTTCTTGTAAGTCAACATTCACTTTCCTATCTAAAAAGAACAACAATCATATTTAGTACATTACGTATGAAATCTTCGTCGCAATGCTGACTCATCGTTATAGTGCAAGGGATTAATCATTCTCCATAATAAAGTTATGTAAACTTTTTCCTATATATTTTGTCCTTTTTCTTCTTCTGTTGGTTTATGATCACCGACGTTTGATATTGGCCAATAATTCAACGAGAAACACTACACGACCGATGTACAGTGGGTTCTCATAATGCAAACGAAATGGTACCTCGAATGGTCGTTCAACTGCACCAGGTAGTTGTAGGATTAAGTGTGATCGATACTATAATACCTATTCGATGAAGAACAGCTTTCAGCCACTTCACTTAGACGGTATGTATACGCTGTTACCGTTTAATGTGCAAGCGGTGTCTGGCGTTGCTAGTCCTGGTTAGCCGTTGAAAGGCGCCCGAGTAATTCGCAGAGCGAGGAGATCGCAGTATCGCTCGTTATTTGCAAAGTTCTCATGGAGGACGAAGATACCGTGTGCAGTTAGTACAATAGAAAGTTAATTTCGCAGCCAGGTGTTAATCGGCGTGGCACCGGTTAGTTCTTGGTGCCCCGACACGCCACGGTACGGCGTATCCGAGGTCTCTTGCTCCTCGCCTCCAACTTCGACCCCTCCGTCTGTCCTTTAACCTCGTTCTGTTGAACCCGGCCGTACTTTCTTGTCTTATTTTCTACCTGGCCACACCAAACTTTCGCGATAAAAGCACCGAAACTCTTTTAACGGGTGCTAAATTGAAACACTGCTGCAATATACCGGCACGGTCCCGTGACTTTCTTTACAAAGACCGTTCCACGGCCACTCCTACCTGGTCGCGACTACACCCTTCCGGATTTACAACAAAGAAAGCTGCCTTTTTCGCCGAGTTAACACCGGCGCATATCCTGTTGGATTTCGCGAACGATCAGCTTTTGTTGCGAAATTCGGTCAGCTAACGTCTAAACCCTTTGCATTATAACGAAGCAGACTCGTTTCGACGATTTCATACATGGTACGCATGATTCTGCTAACAAAAATTGTTTCCTGAGTTCATTCGGTAAATCACGTAACAATGGCACCTTTGAGCAGTAAGTATTGTAAGTAAAATATCTAAGTACAATATCCAAAGGCCATAGATTGAACAGAAGTGAGTCATACAAAGAAATCATTTCATTCGAAGGTTGATGAACGAGATCCGTTCGCGGCTGCTTCGTCGAAGGGACCGTTGCGCTGCGGTAGCATGAGATTGGGTATGGTTGCGTGCAATAGATACATACAGCAACAAGAAATAATGAGGGAACATGTCGATACGTCGATGCCGCTGTGGTTCCACAATCTGGTAATTTGTTTAGCTCTGCGTATCAGCTGCGGTAAATGCGTTTGCTGTGTAACTAAAATGCTAATGCTCTGCTCCTGTTCGGGAAACTCCTAAATTGACACCGATCAGCATGCAGTTCCTTCATCAAAAACGACCCTGCACCTTTTGCTGAATTAAAGTCATTCTAAGCGAAATTCTTAAACGTTGGAGGTTAGATGCGAAACGTAAAAATCGCCTTTTAGCTGACTTTAATAAAAAAAAAAAAATGACAAGCTCTACAAAAATAAATAAGTAAAAAATATCGTCTGCCTAAATACAAGCCTATATCTTATTTGTGACGGTAATTATTTTGAGAACAATAAAGAAATCAAATCTTCGCCATATTTTAAACTTCAACATAAAATCCGCACTTTTTCGTGTCTTTTATTTTTCATAATCAGAGTTTGCTGGTAAAAAATTCGAAATACTTTTCCTAATTGTTTATTTAAAAACTTGTTTTTTGGTTTATCGTTATTTTTACATGACAATGAACTTTCACGCGCGCAGAATATTTTCTATTAAAAGTCTACCATGTCATCACATCGCAACAAAATGCAATTATAGCTATTTGAAGGATGATACAGTCTCATTGGAAGTGTATCATTTGCCTGATTCGAAGCTATCCTGCACACTTACTTGTTTGAACGCTCTTCCTTGCTACTTGGCTCACTTAGACGATCTCTTACCACTTGTTTGAATAGAACCATTTGATACTCCTTACTCGAGTGAACGCAATCCCTTATTACTTGTCTAACTGAGAATAATCTCATAGTATTCGCCTAGAGATTAAACGCTTGCGCTTTTAGCCTTAGTAAAGGCAGACTTCTAATACTTGCTTGCTCACAAACTGTATCAAACTACTTGTTGAATTACGCGAACCTTCGAACTACGTAGTTTGCCATTTATGATCCTATACTTGATACAAAACCGAAGTTACCGTAAGTTCTCGCTACTTAGAGTGTTGAACCTGTTTACTATTTCATACCTCTCGTAAGTAGAAAATGCGTTACCATATTTTTCATACTACCGAAACATTTTATAAGAAATTTCGTTCAAGTGAATATTCTCTTTTAACGTATCAGAAATGTGATTGCAATATTGTACGTCTCAATTTGAAGAATTGACAAAGTTACAGATATGCCAACTACTATTGAAATACTATAATCTGCAAAACTTGCTGAATAACTCTAAGATGTTCGATGGCTTTGAAATTGAGTTACTTTTGTCTTTCATGTGTTTCATTTTAATGTTTTATTCACTTTACACAGTTACCATTTTGTTACTCTATTTTAGTATGAAAGGTAGCATACTTATCTTATTTGGTTTAATACATCATAAATCATGAAAACTGTCCAAAATGATGAATTGATAATGTGAGTAAGATCAATGATAGATACATACAAATTGCACTGTATTTTTTGCAACATACCTAAGTGATACGACAAATCTTTCCCTAAAAAATGTATCTGAAAACGATGCTTCCATGGAAAAATATTCTTTCAATTTTCCGTCCTTTTAATTGCACGTGATTTCATGACTCTGAGCCAATAAAAATCCGATAAAAAAATGTTACCACGAGAATATTGCTGATACAAGCATCTTGAATACGACGCAATAAAAAGAAGTTACAGCTTGTAAAATACAGTTTTGAGGTAAATTCTGCAATGTTTTAATAGAACTCCAAAGCTATAATATATTCCTTGGATACGCATCGTGCGTAGCTGAGCTACGAGAGTGCAACTTAACGCAGCTGCCTAAAAGAGAACAGTTTCACAGATCGTTTAATCGGCGTTCCGCCGTGAGACCGGCTTGACTTCGTGACCCGATTCTCTGCAGTCGTACATCTTGAACGCTCCGGAATCGGAGGATCTTAATCCACGGGGGATCCGGTGCGTATCACAGGTAAGCTCTTTATAAGGACAGCTTATATCCTGTACGAGGAAGCGAGGAGGAAGAAGAGGGATGGGACAGGGACTACGAGATGCTCCGGCGGTAAAGCCTCAACTTCGCGCAACTTTCTCTGAAGATAGCTCCGTAGTAAGACGTGTACTGACACAGAGACCAAGGGAAGG